TGCCTGTTATCTCGGTAACAGAAAAGACCTGACAAGAGATATTTTCGAATTAGTCATGTCCTTATGCTAATAAGTAACTTGCGAAAAAGATTTTTCTTCAACTCGTTTGCAAAAAAACTCCAGCCAGATCTATTTCGACTTCATATGTTTTCTCTTTGGTATCTGGGAGATTTTTGAAAATTTTCAGAGAAAATCACCGGTGAAAATTTTTATTTGCAAGCGGTTATGTCGAGGAAAGAACAGTCTATATGTTAGTAAAAAAATTTCATTCCAGGATCCTTGTGGACCGCAGAAACGTTATTTTATTACCGTGACGCTGTGACACTCTTTTTTGGGAGAGCAGCCTCTGGTATTCAGCTCGGCCAAAAGAACTTTATTTTTATCTTTATCAGAGCTCTTGCTAGCTACTCACGATTAACGGCAGAACTGGCACTCTAAACTTCAAACCCCGACTGGAAACTAACCCGAAACCTGAAAGTCGCTGGAAAGCCTGGTGCTCTGCGAAAAAATTCACTGTCAAAACAAAATGAGCCATTGTGTAGAGTTAATTGTCTATCGACTGGTGTACTTTCTATATTTTTTAGACAAAATTTCTAGGTCAGAAAATTGAAATTAAACTTTTTTAAAAACTTAATCAGCGAAGTATCGCGTTACGTGGACAAGTTGCTGTATAGATTGAATCTGAGTTGATAATAAATATTCAGATATGAAGGTAGATACTTCATTTGTAGACGAAGTGCAAAAATCTTGTTTTTGGTTAATATGTCCGGTAGATAATTTTGAATCCATGTATCAGATTCTCGAGAAACATTGAGTTGTGAGATAAAAGGTTGAATGAGCACTTGAAGCCGGCGAGATTTTAGATCGGAAAATGCTTTTATGAGATCGATTGAACTTATGTATTGAAAAATAAATGGAAAAAGCTCATTTGATAAATCAAGCAGCAGTGGTTTTGATGCCATCAAAGAAACAATACTGCTTTTATTTTACAGAGTAACGACGCATGATTTTTTCTCGTTTCATTCTATCAGAACACATGTTTTAAAACAGTCAGAACGCCAAAATAAATAAACGTACAAATTAATATTACAATACTGTGAAACCATTTGACCATAATACGATAGGCGTCCTCAGAAAGTTGGTCTAGACTATTTCACCAAGAAGTGTTGCTATGGAGCTGTCCTCTGGTTTATAAGGGTTCCTCAAGGTCCGCTTTCGTTTTCTTTCTAGACAGTTTTCTCCAAAACCTTTAGAAGTAGTACTTTTTGGACTACATTAGTTGAATTAAAAGTGTTTTAAAAATCACCGTTAGAATACGGAACATTGGATTCAGCGTCGAAAGGCGAACACTTTGAAGAAAAACTCAACCCTTCAACTCAAAATTTCAATTTTTCAACTTATTTTAACATTTAAAAAATTCAACTTTTTTTAGAATGAATGTAGCTCAATTTACCTGAGAGATGCAGACTCGGTTTAATCGTGGTTAGATAGAGAATTAAAAAAACTGAATCAACTTAGGAGTATACTCCTAAGTTGATTCAGTTTTTTAATTCTCTATCTAACCACGATTAAACCGAGTCTGCATCTTATATCCTAACGGAGATTTTTAAAACAATTTTAATTCAACTAATGTAGGTTTTCTCGAAGCCCTACTTTCAAAGGTTTTGGAGAAAACTTTCTCTAGACAAAAAGAACAAGGATCTCGAGAAACCCTTACGGACCACGCTTCAGGGCGTAGTAGGATTCGGAGATAGTTTTCTCAAGAAGGATGCCTATTGCACTTAGAAACATAAACACTCTGTAACACTCTTTAAGGACAAAATGATAATTATGTTAGCGTTAATCCATTGTTAAACATTCTTCTAACACAAAACTGATTGATTAAATTACAATTTTCTTATTCTATGGTGTAATTTTATTGATATACCTATCTTTTATGGAAATATTATACATCATTCCTTGTATAATTATTTGATTTGCTCTAATATTAAATAATATTTTACAAAAGCAAATACTTACATCTACACTTAAATTTAGCATTATACAAAAAAGGTAAAGATAATTAGCAAGAAATGGATCACGTCTTATGACAAATTTGTCTATTAAGAACATTCTGAAAAGAGAATAACAAAATCACTTTAAAATGCACATATATATTACTGTACTATCTTTTGAAAATTGAAATTTTTCTATATATCGAATGAAAATGATAAATTTCTTAGCAGCTTCTTCAGTTATCGAAAAAAAATATATTTCCGTCCGATAAGATTTCAGACAATCATTCAAAGTCTTTAGATACATACGGATATTAGTAGAATCTTAATTCTGCTTTATTTTTCTAAAAGAAAATACTAAAATGTTCTGAATAAATGAATAAAACCTTGGAGAAATATATACCTATAAGGTTTATTCTTCTTCAGCTTGTTTTATTCATATATTTTTATGATATTAGCTCTAATGTCTCATATTCTTCTTCGTCACCATCACATCAAGTACCATCACATGAAATATTGTACTTTATTGTCTTACATTTGATACGAGCCAATATATTTCTGACATATTCATCTTCATGATTACGGTTGGATACATGACGATCAAAAAGATTCTAAAAAATGCATTCATATACGGTGGTAAAACCATACCATCCGAACTATCTAAAATCTGTCTGAACGGTCTCAAAACGACCAGAAAACTGCCTGTTAACCGGCAATTAACTGGAAGTTAACTTGATAGTTTTCAATGTCCTGGGTAGTTTTCAGTTTCTCAAAGCAGACTCCTAGGGACATTGATCTATAAAAGATTCTCGGCCCAAGGCCAAGCCGATCACTCTATAAAATTTCCTGACCAAGCCCGGCCCGTGCTGATCTCTGATTTACGTGAGTTATATCATGATTGTTGTTGCAGCTATGAAGGACAATACTTCAAGAAAATTATTTAGTCAAGCAAATAATCATTCATGAAGACTTACGTGTGGGATTGCTGAAACTTGCTTGACGATACAGAGTTGCTCTGCAAGGAAAAATTTCAAATTGATTCCATCATCATCAGTATTGGATATCGTGTATGGTATTTTGTGCATTCTTGTACAGTTTTACTTTAAGAACTGTATATTGTCCGCTAGTGCATTATAGACATAAGATTTCTTCACTTGATCTCTACGCTTTATGTCTAAAACTTCAGTATTTAATTAAAATCATTTATGTCAACCTGACTATGTGTATTTTCTTAGACTTTGATGAACGTGGTGCAAGGCTGGGAAAAAACAAACCTTTTTTGTCTGGATTAATTTTGCCCCAGATGTTTAGGTTTGAGAATCCTACGGGAACTCGATTGGAGTTATTTTTGAGATAATATTAATCATTTTAAATTTTTTTTAACTTGCAAATATATTGTGCTTGTTTAGAGAACACATCAGGAATCGTGTTGCCGACTCTTTATTAAAAGAAATAGAAATCTTGATTAAACTGATGTGGGTAGGCAAAAAAGATGTTCGATAACCTTGAAATAAATCTCTAAACCATTTGTGCATCTGATTTTTGTTTTGAATGGCATACATGTACGGATTTATTTATCATTTATTTTGATAAAGCTTCTATGATGCCATCATACACTATTGATAGATGGTGTAATAGGAGAAAGTGACATTTGAAAATAAAGAAGAACATATCTTACATACAGCTGTATAAGATAAATATCACACATATTATTCACACATATTTTTTCTCTAGCCTATTTTCCAAAGGCAATTTTATTTTTTGATCAAGTCTATCGAACGTAAGTAATAATTCAAATGTTTGAAGTAGGTCATGTTCATACAGTTCTTCTCTAGAAGTTTAGTTATATTTGAGTTCTACAAATTGTACAATTCAATCAATTATGGGCTGATTTAGCAGCAATTCTGGTTGCATTTGGTGATGTTGAAACTGAATTCGATAAACTAAAGGATGATAGTGTGTTTGAATCGCCTAAACAATCAATAAATGAAGAAAATACGAAAGAAGCATTACGACTAAATTCACTGGGTACACAAGCTCATAAAGATAGAAAGTATTCTGAAGCCATAACATTCTTTACTAAAGCAACAGTTTTACTAAGTGTTTCAAATCAAGGTCGAGCAACTTTTTATTCGAATATGGCCGCGAGTCGTTTATTATTGAATGAACAACAGGAAACTCCTTCCATCCAATTTGAGTTTGATGCAAAAGATGAACGATATCGCGCATTGCAAGATGCCAAACAAGCAAGAAATCTTTGGCCAACATGGTGGAAAGGACATTTTCGTGTTGGAAAAGTCCATGCTGCTTTAGATGAACATAAAAAAGCAATCAATTCATTCGAACGAGCATTGCTCTTGATCCTACAAAAACTGAGATTCAAGCAGCATTGAATGAAAGTCGTATAGTGTTACATCGACAATCGCAAGTAGATTATCTAGACCCAAGACTGTACACGAAAACAATTCGTGAAGTTTTGAATGAACTACAACAAAAATTTGGTACAGATCCAGAAACGGTACGAAGTTATCATCGTTTGATCGAGGAAAAAGATCCATCAGGAGCTGACGTATGGAAAGGACATAAATATGAACTTGGAGATGTTGAACAAGACTATGAACAAGCTGCGAAATATTTTGCTAAACCAGCAAGTCAGGGCAACGCCGAAGGAATGTATAATCTAGCTCGATTAACTGATCGTGGTTTAGGTGTAAAGAAAGACCTTAATTTGGCTCTCAAACTACTTGAGCAAGCAGCCGAGCAACCGCTAGAACATCCCATACTTAAAGGCTGTCCAAATGTTCGTGTGGTCGAAGCTGAACACGCTTTAGGTAGATATTTCGAACGCATCAGTGTTCCCAAAAATCTATCGGTAGCTGTCTACTGGTATCAACGTGCCACTGATCATGGTAGTGCTATGGCTGCCAACAATTTAGGTTCAATGTATCTGGATGGCCTTGCGGTTGATAAAAATCTCAAAAAAGGGGAGGAATTATTGGCATTGGCAGCGAGAAGAGGAGATCCAGTTGCTATGTTGACTTTGGCAGAGATTCTGCTCAATAAAAATGATTTTCAAATGGCAAAAATTTGGTACGATCGAGCATGCGAATCTGGCAATGTTGTAGCTGAGCCACCGACAAATATGACTGTGGAATTCTGCAATTATTGAATCGTGCAATCCTCTAATTATTGAGATATATTATCATGTTTCTGACATAATAGAACCACTAGAGGAAAACTGTCGCTCTATAGCTAGCTAATAGGTAGCCATAGAGCGGAGTTTTACATCGAGCTGATTAATGAAATGTATCATTCAAAAATATTTTCATGCCTCGTTTACACTTCCCAGTAAAACTACTCATAATTTTTGATACACAACATAAATTTCTTCGTTCCTGGAATCGTTGAGAAATATGACTGTGGAACCCTGGCATCCCCGAAGCCTGAAATCCTTGCAACGCGCAATCCTCCGGTCACTGAGCAATATGGTTGTGGAATCCTGGCATCGTGGCTTTAAATTGTGCAATCCTCGAATCATTGAGAAATATGATTGTGCAGTCCTGGAATGCTAAATCATCCTCGAATCATCCTTGCATCGTGCAATCCTCGAAGCATTGAGAAACATGATTGCGAGATACTGAAATGCTTGAATCGTGAAAGCCTCGAATCATTGAGAAATATGGCTGTGGAACCCTGGAACCCTTGAAACGTGCAATCATCGAATGATTAAGAAATATGACTGTGAAATGCTAGAATTATTGAATCGTGCAATCCTCGCATCGTTGAGAAATATGACGGCGGAATTCTGGAATCCTCGAATCATTGAGAAATATCATTGTGGAATCCTGGAATCCTTGCATCGTGCAATCGTCGAAGCATTGAGAAACATCATTGTGGAACCTTGAAATCCTCAAGTCCTCGAACCCGAGAATCCTTGAATCGTGCCATGCTCGAATGATTGAGAAACATGATTGCGGAACCTTGAAATCCTCAAGTCCTCGAACCCGAGAATCCTTGAATCGTGCCATGCTCGAATGATTGAGAAACATGATTGCGGGATGCTGAAATCCTCGAATTCTGGAATCCTTGAATCGTGAAGGCCTCGAATCATTGAGAAATATGATTCCGGAATCCTGGAATTCTTGAAACCTGCAATCATCGAATGATTACGAGATACGGCTGTGGAATCTTGGAATTATTTAATCGTGCAATCCTCGCATCGTTGACAAATATGATTGTGAAATCCTGGTATCGTGGGATCATGAAATCCTTGAATCGTGTAGTCCTCGAATCATTGACAAAAAATATGATTGTGGAATCCTGGAATCCTCGAATGGTGGTTTTATCGAATCCTGGAATCCTTGAATCGTGCAATCCTCGAAGCATTGAGAAATATGCTTCTGGAATCCTGGAATCGTTGTATCATGCAGTCCTCGAATCATTGGAAATATGGCTGTGGAATCCTGGAACTCTGGAATTCTGGAAACGTGCAATCATCGAATGATTAAGAAATATGATTCTGAAATCCTGGAATTATTGAATCGCGCAATCCATCATGTTCCTTCCAATGCAATGGAGAGAATGATTTTTAACGCCTCTTAATTGCTATAGAGCCACAGTTTTCCTGTAGTGGTTTTTAAACATATGGTTTCGTAGAAAATTTAATTCTCTACAAAATGGCTTATTTGGTTTTGAGCTTCAGCACTTTAGAAAATTTGTACATATTTGTACATTTGCCGACTTAATTTACAGTTTTTGACCCTCGAACCCGAGGTAGTGACTTTATTCTTGCGTATATCGGCTGACTGTAGCAGAAATAATTGTATGTATAAATATCAAAATCTTCTGATCATATTACGTCCCTCAAAAACGCTCGATAAAAATGGTGCGTAACACCGTTACGTTTATGTTTTGATATTTTTGCCTTAACTGAAGATGTTGGAAAAATTCTTTTTTTACCATCGGATAGCCCGTTCTGTGCTCTATAATTTCTGTGCTAAAAACGTTTCATTATGACCTTTACCTTTGTCGGCACTCGAAAAAAAGAATCTTTTTTCGTAACGACGTTACGACCTACAAAAACCGTTCGCAAAATTCGAGACTTCATCCAAAAAGTTTCAGTTTTATACCGTAAATGGGGGTCGACGAGCTGCATCGAATGGCGTTTAAATGAGCTTTTTAACTATTTTAGTTTCCGAGATAATTGCATTTTAGTGCGTTCAAAACGTAACGCCGTTACGTTTGGACAAGCCCATCATCTTTCTGACACAATAAAACCACTAGAGGAAAACTGTCGCTCTATAGCTAGCTAATAGGTAGCCATAGAGCGGCAGTTTTACATCGAGCTGATTAATGAAATGTATCATTCAAAAATATTTTCATGCCTCGTTTACACTGCCACTAGTTTCTAAACACACCCTTAGTCATTTTTCTGCCGTCGTAAAAAATTGTATAGTTTTCAAAAACATACCATTTGATAGACCTTTAAATTTTCTTCAAAGCGAGCTGGTCAAAATATCCAGACAGTTGGGACCAGTCATTAACGATATCGAAGAAAAGAATTTGGGTTTTAATCAGAAAATTTTGCAAACCATATAGCCTGATAGAGCAAAGAATTCTGAGGAAAATAAGACATCTCCAGGCTGACCATAAGGCTTTGTCACAAGAATGTTGTGGTATTTTTCACGCCCTTTGTAGCCATTCGTAACTCGACTGCGCTGGAGTGAAAAAGCCTTATAGACAGCCTGGAGATGTCTTAATTTCCTCAGAATATTGCAGAAAAATGACTAAGGGTGTGTTTAAAGCACTAAAGTAGGTGAAACTTATACATATGGTCAAAACACAAAAAGGCTTTTTGGGGACAAGAAACCCTAACGAGGATCTTGACGGAGCTTGTCTCTCGAAAAACACGCATTTATCGACCGAGTTACATGTAGTTTTATAGAGTGTTGAATTCTGAACAACATGCATCCTTTAGATTCAGCATCTATTTAGACTTATTTTACATATAGCGACGATACTGACGTCGAAAGGTCGTTAACCAGAAAATCTTGCCAAAAAGTGACACAAGTTTCCAGTTATACACAATTAGATAGCCCGTGAAATTCTCTACAAACTGAGCTAGTTAGAATATCTTGACTGGTGGGACCAGTCATTAAAGATATGCAAAAGAAACGTATGGGTGTTATATATGCAGTACAGTGTTTCATAACCATAAGAACCCCTTTGTGTTTGCTTTTTCAGTCAAGGCTAGAACCAGTCTGAATACATTTAGCGGCCAAGTCACATGTAGTTTTATAGAGTGTTGAATTCTGAACAACATGCATCCTTTAGATTCAGTTTATATTACAAAAGCAGACTCATTTTATATATACAATACGCGTCAGTGTAGAAAATAGGCGAATGTTTGACTTTTTAGTCGACGATCTGAAGTATTCTTTCACGTATATTTGTATTTCGGCCTGTCCAGCTAACGGTCACCTTCACTTAAGATGGTTCGAAAATTTTTTTTTAACTTTAAATATTTGTGAAGCACATCATCTCACGTAGTTTTTGAAGCTGATTTCGAATATCAACTTAAAACTTCCAAAAAATTAAATTTTTACCTCAAAAAATTAAATCCAAAGTTTATGTCTTGCGAATCCCAACTACCACAATACAGTGGACACACGGGCGCAATATCCGATAGTACGATTGTCGCTCTCACACTGACAAAACTTATCTACTATTGGATTATCATCATCTTCCTGGTCGTATTCTATACAAAGATGATATTTGACACTATTATGATGTCGGCTTTGTATACGACAGCGAAGTATATTATCGGTATCTGGATTTCAACTTCAAGACTACCGTGTTCATCCAGATACAATTTAGCGTAAGCTTTACTTTGTTTCAGCTGATAGCTTCCGCAGGTATATTCACGTAGGATATCGAGATTAAGTTGTGGAAATTTAATATCAGTATCTGTCATTTTTATCCATTTTCTTCGAAATGATACTTCTGAAGAATTTATTTGATGTTTAAGTTGACTTCTGTGATCTTGTAACTCTAACATTTTTTCGGCGAATTGTATATGTTCATTCGATGTGGCATCATACAACACCGTCCGATACTTGACAGGCTGTTGTAACGCGGACTAGTATATTCAGTAAAGACAGAAACGAGTTATCGATTCTTTCCGAGAAAACCTTCCATACCCTTCTGTGAATTGCCTCAATCGGCCAACGACATTTTGTCACGAGTCTGGCGGCATTGGCATCTTCGGTGGTTAGTTGGGTAGCTCCTTTTTCGAGAAACCTAGACATTTTCACATCATCCCAGCTGTATGAAAAGCCTGCTACATCTCGAAATGTCCTGTCGACTATTTGTATATCACCATCTTCACACAACGGCTGTAATCCATGTAACGTATCAAGGATATACCGAGCTATGGTAGTATCGTTGTCTTTACCATAAAATGGACCAAGAGTTTCTACTATATTTCCGTCTGGCAGAGCTAACACCATGAATTTTACCAAATGCCGATATTTTTGGCCAGAGAATCCCCGTTGCAGATTATGATCGTTACTTTTGTACACGTAAAAGTAAGTTCCATCCCAAATAAGTGACAGTTGATCTCCGAAAAAGGTGCGGGTATACGCCGTATCGTGTATCAGAGCTGCAATATAATCTTGATCGGAAAACGATAAATCAGTTTCGTCAAGTAACGAAGTAGTTTTAATCTACAAAACGCAAAAAACTCAAAAAATCTAGCGACGGGAGGAGGAATGACCGTTTTCTCTCTTAAATACGGTGTCTGCTCCCGCTCTGACATAATATCTTTCACTTTTGTCAATTCTATTTGTATTTCAAAGAAAACGGGCTTACAAACAAAGGCTTACACGTTTAGGTTCTTGTATAAGTTCTGTGATAAGATTGGATGCTTTCGTAGCAGAAATTCCCATTGGTTGACGTGGTCTTTTTGATAGTTTTTCAACAGATTTAACTGCGCAACGACGACATCCAGCCGGCGCATACAAGTTATGGTCAGTGAGCAAGTTCATTCTCTCTTCATCGGATAAATCAATCATGTCTGTAACCGTTTTCAAACATAACACACAATAGTTAGTATCATTCCCATAATAACTTACATCATTGAGTAGTATACAGTCTTCTTGAGAAGAATTCCGATCAATAGTATTTTGAGAATGCAACATAGAATTTCGCTTAGCTTTTGTTATTTGTACATAACATTAAGACATTTGTTACAAATAAACATTTCGGTTTTTAGTTCGACTAATCGTTTACATAATATATCGTGAATCCAGCGATGTCATTTCTTGGATATATCACTGTAGTTCGACGTAGTACCGCCGGCATTTAGTTTTCGTCGTCAGGCAATACATTGAATCCTTGGTGTACTCATCAGGCATGGGCGAGTCCGAGGAATACCGAGTCCGAGCCAATTCCGAGTCCGAGTCCCTGATATTAAGGACCGAGTCCAAGTCCCGAGTCCATTTCGAGTCCAGTAATGTTTTAGATTCTTTCTTTGATGGGTGTGGTTTATTTCTCTTTTATAATTTACTGAGCCCTGGATAGGTATTTGATTTGTCGAAAATAAGATTACTTTGCATGTCTATTTCCTGAACAAAATTTTCAATTTCTTGTGAAACAGAAGGTGTTATTATTTCGCTTTTCATTTTTCTCTGCTCATTTGTGTTGAAAGT